TTTAAGCTTTTGCTACACTATAAGCGTTTACTTCGTTTCTTATGAATAAAAAGGAGTAAATGCTACAAATTTTAAATATTAACTAGTCATATTTCAAGGTTGGGTTGGGGCTACCTTGAAAATATAAAAGCACATAATTCTGCGCAAAAATTACTGCATTTATTAATTTTAATCGCGAAAAAGTACAAATAATACCATACGGTAGTTCGTATGAATAAAAACTGGCATTTGCATTACTCCCATCTGTACGTTTCGTATGAATATAAAAGAGTAAATGCTTCAGATTTCAAATATGCACTTGTCATTCACAAGGCTGGGTTGGGGCAACCTTGAAATTATAAAGCAAATAATTCTGCGCAAAAGCTACAGCATTTATTATATGTTAATCGCGAAAAATTAATATTAACAAAGTTCATAAAGTACAAATGATACCATGTTCGTATGAATAAAACATGGCATTTGCTTTTACTTCCAATTTTGAAGCATTTACTAGCATCTGTATGAATGAAAATTAAGCAAACACGTTCGTGTAGGTTTTATATGAATTAATCCCTAATCCCTATGATCTCAGAATAAATACAAGATTTCTATTGTTTTAGCCACTGTGACCTTGACCCTTGACCAAGAACGATCCACAAACCAAATTTGAAGTTCACATGTAAAGTATTTCTCAAGTTATCGCGCTGACAAATTTTTTTTTGTTTTAGCCACTGTGACCTTGACCCTTGACCTTTTGGCCTCAAATGCAATAGGCTTCTTTGGATTGCAAGGACAATCTACAAACCAAATTTGAAGTTCATATGTAAAGTATATCTCAAGTTATCACGCTGACAAAATTTCTGTTGTTTTAGCCACTGTGACCTTGACCCTTGACCTTTTAGCCCAAAATGCAATAGGCTTCTTAGGATTGCCAAGGACAATCCACAAACCAAATTTGAAGTTCATATGTAAAGTATTTCTCAAGTTATCGCGCTGACAAAATTTCTATTGTTTCAGCCACTGTGACCTTGACCCTTGACCTTTCGGCCCCAAATGCAATAGGCTTCTTAGGATTACCAAGAAAAATACACAAACCAAATTTGAAGTTCATATGATTTTGATAGTGCTACATGCAGAACTTCATTAAAAAAATTTGTCCTGCCATTTGGGTTTCCTTTTTTTGACTCACCCTGTGTAAGTTACTTGTAGACAATCATAACAATTTAGATATGATTTTTTTATAGCCGCCTACTTTAAAATGTAGCTCCACCCCTAAAGGGCAACAATTAGTCTTGCAACCGTTTAAACTTATCTTTACAGTGTATGGTAAACATAGTTAACCGATGGAAAAGTTGTGTTTTTACCAGCAAAAATGATGATTTTCCCTCGTTTGAATCAAGCTGCTCCAATGTACCGCCTCTTTACATATTTAGGCCACGCCCGCAAAAGGGTGAAAATAACACGTTAGAATGTTAGAATTTACATCCACTTTGTTTCAAAGCATGAGAAACAAAGTGAATGTAAAATACAGTTTTCTGAGTTTTCTTTTTTTGCACTCCCCTTTTTGAAAAATCAAGCTCCGCCCCCCAATGGGCAAGATCCAAGATGCGTTCACCTCTAAAAATTATGTTCGCCCATTTCAATTGGACATGCCAATTTTCAGAATTTTACCACCAAACTGAATGATGTTTTCTATATTAGAACCAAACTGCTAATATATACCGCCTCTTTTACCATTTAGACCACGCCCACAAAATGGGTGGAAAATTAACAGGTGTTAGAATGCTAGAATGTCTTATTTGATGTTTAAGTTTATTTCAAAGCGTAAAAAACCAAGGAAATTTGATGTTCTGGATTAGCCCCATAAATGTGGCCAATTTACTGGACTGCCTCCGTAAATGTAAATAAAGGTTACACTGCCACCATGTACAAAAACATGTCGAACTTTGTCAAATTTTGATTTTCACATCTGAAAAAGGCAGCACTTTCTAATTAGCCTATAAAGGTGAGTATGCTTCTAAAGCAAAAATGAACTACAAACTAAGCCTAAATGTGATAATCAAAATTTGACAAATTTCGACATGTTTTTGTATATGGTGGCAGTGTGGCCTTTATTTACGGAGGCAGTCCAGTAAATTGGCCACGTTTATGGGGCTATTTCTGGATGAGGTGGATGATATGTGACATACGAGGTTGTGCCTGACACGTGAGGTAGCTGAGAAAAACATTCCCTCGTACCCCCTGCCCTGTTTGCAGGGCGGGGGTATGAGCGAAAGAAAAACATCAGGTTTGGGCAGTCATCACATCACAGGCTGCGGTCCTCGTAGTCTTGAAGTCCAGTGGTTGAATAGTCCAGTTTTTATAGCGATTGGTAATCGACACCCGCGGCGTGTTAAAGAGCCGATCTAGTACACCTGGTACCCTGCTGCCTCTGCACGGCCTAACCGCTAGAAACGCCCGGCATCCAAGTCTACTGAAAAACCACCTCCCTCTCATGCCACAGTGGGTCTATATACACGTACATGACGTACATGTACAGTACATACATGTACAGGGGACCAAGTTGGAAAAGAAACACGCATCGCGATATAGGAACGCTTGCGCGTTGTTCAGGCAAGTCAAAATATCTATCTTTCTTTGTTTTTTTTTTTTATCCTTTTTCCATGGAAAGTGAATTTCGATTTTCAATTATTTAGCTTGACCCACCCACCCACAATTTGGAAAAAAGATCGAAATTTTAAAACATTGAACATTCTGAATGGCCCCTTTGGGCAAGTTCGCGCAAGGACTATAGTTAACCATTGGTCGACTAACGCTTGCCCGAACTCTGTCTAGTCGACGATGGTTGACTACTCTAGTCGACTATTTGGAACCAGCCTACTGAGGTTGGTTGCTTCGCTGGTAACCAATAGCCGCGCGCATTCATAACGCTAGCAGAGAGCCAGGATCCAGAAGTTTTGCGATGACATTTTGACCAGCGTTCGACTAGAGGCGTTCGCACTTTGCTATCAGTGCGCAGGCGTAAGGTACGTCACAAATTAACCACTAGACGACTAATGGTCCTTGCCCGAACTTGGCCTTTAAAGTATGAATTAACCGCGGGAAATACTGGCGCATGCGCACAAACTAAGTGGCCCCATTGTGGATGATAATTATCATACCTACCTGAGCTGTACGTACGGGTACGATACACTGATCTCTATATAAAGACTGGATAGCTAATAAAGAGCCGCACAATGTACGAATTTGACGCCATATTGGTGAGACCGGCTGGTGATCTACAAAGGACAAGTTGCCGTCTTTATAGACAGCATGATTTCTTTTGTAACGTCGCGGTTCACTCACTTGACTTATATTTTGGCCACCACCACTGACCAACTGACCAAGGTTTACTACAATTTTTCTAACGTCGTGATTACTTTTATAATGCTGCAAATCACTTTTTCGGCGTTTTTGAAATAATAACCACCACGGAAATGTGTCCTTTTTAGAACATCATAATATGTGTACGTGACCAAAATGCGCGTCAACTGTTGATACAACGCGCGCGTATTTACGCGTAGAACGTTCGTATATACGCGGCCATCTTCGTGAGACCGGGGGCGAATTGGTCAATATGCAAAGTCTACTGTGTGAATGTTGTATGCATATCTGCTATCCAGTCTTTATATAGAGATCAGTGGTACGATACGACGTACATGTACGGCCGGCCGCCGTGATTAATTTGTAGTGTGTGCACAATTCACGCGAGATTTATTGCTGATGAATGCAATTTGAATTTCGTTAAGCTGTTTCTGACCGGAATCACCTAAGCTAAGGCTGAAGAGGACTACTACTTGTTCTTTGTAAGCATCAAGAACGCGGAGGCGGAGGGTACATGTTAGCAGTCCTTCATTTAAAGAAAATCCAGGAGAGCTATAAATCGCTCTCCTCAAATATTCGAGGAGAGCAAATCGCTCTCCTTAAAATCTACGGATAAACAGCGGTAAAACGACGGGTTACCATTGTTTTTGTTTTATTTTGAATATAAGGATTTATTCAAGGGGCTGCATTATTATTAGTTTTTGCATAATAACATATGCTCAAGTTGCGTTACTTTTTTCGTTTTTGTAACTGTAAGACAAGGTAAAATTTATTAAAAAAAACTAACTAAATGGAGATTAATAAAAGGTTTGACTACTGCTCAGGCTTTCATTTTTTAATACAGGTGTCAGTTGGTTCATCACTTGATTATACTTGGAAAATGGAGAGTTAATAAACGGCACATAAAGCAACTGAAAAATTGCTTTCAGATTCGTTAAAATTATATGAAATTTTCAGCCTGAACTATTTCAATTGCTCTACGAAAGCTTCACAAAAAGGGCCTCAAAATGACACAAACTTGCCTTAAGTTTTATCGAAAATATCTGCCGTCGATAATCTTAAAAATAACGGAAAATGCAGGTCAAGTATGCCATATACACAATGCTAGTCACGACGAGAAACTGGCTAACAACATCTGAACTTCGCACTAGTACGAGCGTTTGTGATGCACTGTGTGTGGTGGGCCGGCAATGAGACTCGTTTCACGGTATAGGATTTCGGTGAAACACGCTGCATCGTTTCACTTCACATACAAGTAAAACTTCCTCAAAATAAATTCATGAACACGGAAAATACATACACAGACAAGAGAGATCAAGTTTTGTGAATAAGCTTGCAAAGATCGTCCTTCTCAATCGTTGTTTTCTTGGCATTTTTACGACGTCTATTCCGTTCAGCCTGCACGCAAAACACTGTACGGCAGGCAGTGCATTGCACCGCGCAGGACTATTACATTGACTGGTTACCGCATTTTCATCATGCCTTCATCATGCCTTCACATGCACCCCGGATGCTGGCACGTAAAAAGACAAGCACGAGCAGCGAAGCCGCGAGCGGCTTTTTCCGCTCGTACTAGACTCTTTACTTGTCAGCATATCCGCTGTGCGTCATGTGTCCCCGGGTACGTAAGCGCGTGGGTATGAATTAATTGCGGGAAATACTGGCGCATGCGCACAAACTAAGTGGCCCCATTGTGGACCATGTGGACATAATTATCATACCTGTACGGGTACGGATACGATACGGCGCGCCGATATAACGATGCGATGGTGATTAATTTGTAGTGTGTGCACAATTCACGCGAGATTTATTGCTGATGCATGCAATTTGAATTTCGTTAAGCTGTTTCTGACCGGAATCACCTAAGCTAAGGCTGAAGAGTACTACTACTTGTTCTTTGTTAGCATCAAGATCCGGTAAGTTGTTGCCAGCAGTTCGTACTCATCGTAGCTTATCTAGCCCGCAAGTGGCTAGACCCGTGAACGTGGCGTTGTAGTTTACAAGCCACGTTCATGGGTCTAGCGTTCATATCTCGAGCCGTGGCACGTAAACAACGACACGTTCCGTTGACGGCGTTGTCATTCCGCGGTAGGCCTACATCATTTCGTATGCAGCTTGAGTACTCCTTGAACTATGAGGCTCGTGGAGCCTCATAAGTCATAGGCAGATTGCCCCGCAGAACTGTTTGCTATTCAAAACACCAACTAAATACAAAAACGTCCATCCCAACCAAGGTTTTTCCCTTACTATCGCCAGACCATGTCCGAATGTTAAAAAAGGTGATAAGCAAGTTTGGTCCAAGTTACTCGGACTAGTCTAGGTTTTTCCCACTGAGCCGCTGCACAGTTTGCCCCTAAACCTCCATGGTACAATACCTCATGACATACTCACGTTATGTGCACCAAACAAACATCGGTGGATTCTGTCTGTTTTTAGGCCAAAATGATGAAAAATTAGCTCTACTGAGTGGAGCGTTGAATTACAGGTACCCCTCCATACAAACGCTCCACCGATTTGCCATACTTTGGTGACGGCGTCACAGTAGCATAGTGTACATACCCACGCGAGGACAAAAAGACCCCCCAAAAAAACGGTTAAGAGAGTACAAATGAGAAAGACAGTTACCCTGGATTGATCTACACATTCATGACATTCCATCAGACCCCTTATATTGTTCCCAAACAGCGAAAATTTTGGGAAAAAACAGCAAAATAGTCTGAAAACTTACAGCTCAATGTGTTTGCCGTGAGGCTCAGTCCTTGCCCCGACTTGCCGAATGAGGGCGTCTGACGTGACGTCACCGGCGTTGCTCGATCGAAGAAAAACCATTCTGTACGTTTCAAGTGTCAGGTTGGCTCAGTGCGGAAAGGGCATATTTTCTATCATTTTGGCCTGAAAACAGACAGAATCCAGCGATGTTTGTTAAGGCCCAACTAACATGAGTATGTCATGAGGTATTGTACGGAGTTTAGGGGCAAACTGTGCAGCGGTTCAGTGGGAAAAACCTTGGTTGGGATGGACGTTTTTGTACTTAGTTGGTGTTTTGAATAGCAAACAGTTCTGCGGGGCAATCTGCCTATGAGGCTCCACGAGCCTCATAGTTCTAGGAGTACAGCTTGAGTACTTACCTAGAATTTCTTTGAAAAGATTCCCATATATCTGGCCATCACTTGTCACCCTGTGCGATATAGTCAGGCAGCCTAGTGAATGGATGTTGACATTCCGGACAAAACTAAAGCGCCAAGTTTTCCATACATGCTTCTCAATGCCTTAGCTTTCAATTGTTGATAGGAACCAGCTTGGCAATGACATTATGGTGGCCATCTTGGATTATAAAGATTGCGGCCATTAAAAACCTATATCTACCCAACCTCGTACCCAGGGCGTCGAGCAGTACGCGCCCATCACTACCTGCTCTCTCACCCTGGTATTGGATCATTTGCATACTGTGCAAGATTTTTGAACACGTATGCAAATGAGGAATAGTCTGGTGCATGCATGTGCATTACATTAGCGTTTGTTTTTGTATGCGGTGTCTGGGGTAAAACAGAGTCAATTCGTAGCAGCGCGAGCATGGCGTGAGTTACGAAAACACGATTTTTATTCAATTAAAATGTTACGATCTTAACGAAACAATATGCAGTATCACATTTCATATTAATATTAACAAACTGGAAAGGAAATTAATAAGGCGTGGACGAATGATCGCGAAAACACGTACTGCACGTTGTGAATAACAACACCAAGTACACGATAAAAATCCATTACTAGCCGATTGCGGTATCGAATCAGGATACAGGAAGAAAGTTTCCTATCCAGGGTTTACTATTGGAAACTGTGTTGGAAATAAAATAAGCACAATAAAGAGCCGCACAATGTACGAATTTGACGCCATATTGGTGAGACCGGCTGGTGATCTACAAAGGACAAGTTGCCGTCTTTATAGACAGCATGATTTCTTTTGTAACGTCGCGGTTCACTCACTTGACTTATATTTTGGCCACCACCACTGACCAACTGACCAAGGTTTACTACAATTTTTCTAACGTCGTGATTACTTTTATAATGCTGCAAATCACTTTTTCGGCGTTTTTGAAATAATAACCACCACGGAAATGTGTCCTTTTTAGAACATCATAATATGTGTACGTGACCAAAATGCGCGTCAACTGTTGATACAACGCGCGCGTATTTACGCGTAGAACGTTCGTATATACGCGGCCATCTTCGTGAGACCGGGGGCGAATTGGTCAATATGCAAAGTCTACTGTGTGAATGTTGTATGCATATCCGCTATCCAGTCTTTATATAGAGATCAGTGGTACGATACGACGTACATGTACGGCCGGCCGCCGTGATTAATTTGTAGTGTGTGCACAATTCACGCGAGATTTATTGCTGATGAATGCAATTTGAATTTCGTTAAGCTGTTTCTGACCGGAATCACCTAAGCTAAGGCTGAAGAGGACTACTACTTGTTCTTTGTAAGCATCAAGAACGCGGAGGCGGAGGGTACATGTTAGCAGTCCTTCATTTAAAGAAAATCCAGGAGAGCTATAAATCGCTCTCCTCAAATATTCGAGGAGAGCAAATCGCTCTCCTTAAAATCTACGGATAAACAGCGGTAAAACGACGGGTTACCATTGTTTTTGTTTTATTTTGAATATAAGGATTTATTCAAGGGGCTGCATTATTATTAGTTTTTGCATAATAACATATGCTCAAGTTGCGTTACTTTTTTCGTTTTTGTAACTGTAAGACAAGGTAAAATTTATTAAAAAAAACTAACTAAATGGAGATTAATAAAAGGTTTGACTACTGCTCAGGCTTTCATTTTTTAATACAGGTGTCAGTTGGTTCATCACTTGATTATACTTGGAAAATGGAGAGTTAATAAACGGCACATAAAGCAACTGAAAAATTGCTTTCAGATTCGTTAAAATTATATGAAATTTTCAGCCTGAACTATTTCAATTGCTCTACGAAAGCTTCACAAAAAGGGCCTCAAAATGACACAAACTTGCCTTAAGTTTTATCGAAAATATCTGCCGTCGATAATCTTAAAAATAACGGAAAATGCAGGTCAAGTATGCCATATACACAATGCTAGTCACGACGAGAAACTGGCTAACAACATCTGAACTTCGCACTAGTACGAGCGTTTGTGATGCACTGTGTGTGGTGGGCCGGCAATGAGACTCGTTTCACGGTATAGGATTTCGGTGAAACACGCTGCATCGTTTCACTTCACATACAAGTAAAACTTCCTCAAAATAAATTCATGAACACGGAAAATACATACACAGACAAGAGAGATCAAGTTTTGTGAATAAGCTTGCAAAGATCGTCCTTCTCAATCGTTGTTTTCTTGGCATTTTTACGACGTCTATTCCGTTCAGCCTGCACGCAAAACACTGTACGGCAGGCAGTGCATTGCACCGCGCAGGACTATTACATTGACTGGTTACCGCATTTTCATCATGCCTTCATCATGCCTTCACATGCACCCCGGATGCTGGCACGTAAAAAGACAAGCACGAGCAGCGAAGCCGCGAGCGGCTTTTTCCGCTCGTACTAGACTCTTTACTTGTCAGCATATCCGCTGTGCGTCATGTGTCCCCGGGTACGTAAGCGCGTGGGTATGAATTAATAGCGGGAAATACTGGCGCATGCGCACAAACTAAGTGGCCCCATTGTGGACCATGTGGACATAATTATCATACCTGTACGGGTACGGATACGATACGGCGCGCCGATATAACGATGCGATGGTGATTAATTTGTAGTGTGTGCACAATTCACGCGAGATTTATTGCTGATGCATGCAATTTGAATTTCGTTAAGCTGTTTCTGACCGGAATCACCTAAGCTAAGGCTGAAGAGTACTACTACTTGTTCTTTGTTAGCATCAAGATCCGGTAAGTTGTTGCCAGCAGTTCGTACTCATCGTAGCTTATCTAGCCCGCAAGTGGCTAGACCCGTGAACGTGGCGTTGTAGTTTACAAGCCACGTTCATGGGTCTAGCGTTCATATCTCGAGCCGTGGCACGTAAACAACGACACGTTCCATTGACGGCGTTGTCATTCCGCGGTAGGCCTACATCATTTCGTATGCAGCTTGAGTACTCCTTGAACTATGAGGCTCGTGGAGCCTCATAAGTCATAGGCAGATTGCCCCGCAGAACTGTTTGCTATTCAAAACACCAACTAAATACAAAAACGTCCATCCCAACCAAGGTTTTTCCCTTACTATCGCCAGACCATGTCCGAATGTTAAAAAAGGTGATAAGCAAGTTTGGTCCAAGTTACTCGGACTAGTCTAGGTTTTTCCCACTGAGCCGCTGCACAGTTTGCCCCTAAACCTCCATGGTACAATACCTCATGACATACTCACGTTATGTGCACCAAACAAACATCGGTGGATTCTGTCTGTTTTTAGGCCAAAATGATGAAAAATTAGCTCTACTGAGTGGAGCGTTGAATTACAGGTACCCCTCCATACAAACGCTCCACCGATTTGCCATACTTTGGTGACGGCGTCACAGTAGCATAGTGTACATACCCACGCGAGGACAAAAAGACCCCCCAAAAAAACGGTTAAGAGAGTACAAATGAGAAAGACAGTTACCCTGGATTGATCTACACATTCATGACATTCCATCAGACCCCTTATATTGTTCCCAAACAGCGAAAATTTTGGGAAAAAACAGCAAAATAGTCTGAAAACTTACAGCTCAATGTGTTTGCCGTGAGGCTCAGTCCTTGCCCCGACTTGCCGAATGAGGGCGTCTGACGTGACGTCACCGGCGTTGCTCGATCGAAGAAAAACCATTCTGTACGTTTCAAGTGTCAGGTTGGCTCAGTGCGGAAAGGGCATATTTTCTATCATTTTGGCCTGAAAACAGACAGAATCCAGC